CGGAGGCTGTAGCAGGCGGCATGGAAGTCTCATCTGTCTGCCGCCGCTATTAACCTGCGGGCGCTTAGATGGGGCTCTCGCTGCTGTTTATCCGGCTGCCAGGCAGCAGCGGAGGGGATTACTGACACGGTTCTAACTCGGATTAATACTCAAAAGGAAATGCTGGGCCAAGATCCTCAACAGGTTCAAGTCAGGATTGTTCAATAGCCTGAGTCACTCCGTGCTGCTGATCCACAGCTGCTGAGTGCTGTTTATTTTCACCGTTTAACGAAATGTTCTCCCTCAAATACTGGCTGTCTGATCAATTCAGCCTCACCGTCTCCAGTACCAATGGCTTCCTGTCAGCAGCACTTGATAATAATCTGTTCCTTCTTGTTTGCATCTCTTCAAATATCTCTCCCAAGTCTTTGCATTCAGCATTAATGAAAGCATTAATGTTCTCTGCTAGGCAGTGATGAAACCCCCAAAGTCAATTCTGAAACCAGAACCGTGCTGAGGTAAGTAGGAATTGATCGGACCCCTGTTCATTCACAAAAGAATTCAGGTAGCTAAACGCATCATTTTACTATCGTCTCAATTCATTGCTCATTCCCAGTGACTCCTAAGGGACAGCCAGAGAAGATGTCTAAAATGAACAGTCACTCACATGTGGTGTATGGGCCTAAATATCTGCTGGTACTGGGTGGCCTTGGAAGAACTGGAGCTTGGTTGATTCAGACAAGATGAGGAGTGGAAACCGTCCTGGCAATCTGTGATTAAATTACTTTTAAAATATTTCCAACAACCAACTGTTCTTCATGAGGGGTTTTCAAAATAGAGTCTACAATCACATATTCTGAAATGCTGGCTTTTTTCTTTAATGCTATTTCCTATATAATATTTTGGACAATAAGCTTTTGTCCGTGTTGTCTAAAATGTTTCCAAAGCAAAGAACTCTTTGGAAGTAAAAAAAATTGCTATCTAAAAGAAGGTTCCTTATGTAAACACTGAACTCCATCTAGCAAAAGCCAGTTCGTTGTAAGCTTCTGTTGCCTAGTTCTGTTTATATCAAGCCAGACGATGACATCAAATACTTTTATTCGTATGTAAGCTGTTCTTCAATGATTAATACAAGAGTTTGCTGCTGCAGTATTATACAATCTAAGCTGTTCAGACACAAGGCAATAACGTGGATAACGTTTAACTTAACCTGTGTACATTTCAGTCTTGGTGTGTATATAGGTGTTCATGAGAGCATTTGTAAATAAAGCAGAAAGGGTGATGCTAATATAACTCAGTCATACTTCTGCAGGGGACTTGCATCAGACTTCCGACAAAAATTAGAAGAAAAAGGGGAAGCAGTTTTTTGTCTGTTTTGGCAATATAGAATTTCAGTTTGATAATCGAAACAAAGCCAAGACAAATAACCAGCTTGCTATTGGCAGTGTCAGTTGGCTTCTGTTTCATTGCCAGATATTGTAATGAAAACTTTTTTTGAACATCTGCATGAATATCATGTCCCAATAGCTTCTGAGTTACTGATGAACAACAGAGATAAATGTGTATTAGCTACTGACTTGTAGCAGCAAGCTACATTTGTAGTTCATTGCACTATAAAAGCTAATTGCTAGTAAGCACCAAATACTCTGTAGAGGTTACTTGTCCTGCTATTACACCTATGGTGCATTGCAAACATGGACTCTTCTCGTGCATATACAGACATGCATGTGAGACACGATGCTGTGTCTTCAGCTGGTGTGGACTAGTGTCGATAAAGAACTCCTTCACTGGGTCAAACAACAGCTCCATCTATCCCGGTGTGCTGTCCCCTAAAGCAGCTTGCAGGGAGTGCTCAGGGAAGAGCACAAGAAAACAGTGGGTATGCAGCGGTATTCCCAGAATACTTTCCCGGTTTCCAGCGATTTAAGGCTCAGGGAGTACCTGAACCTGAGGAGAGTTCTTTGTATTTCATGACTCCCAGCGGGTTTTGTTGTCCTTTCAGAAGGTGTCCAGTTGCTCCATTTGCAGTGTCCTGTGGCAAGGAGCTCCACAGCTGGACCGTGCAGGGTGTGAAAGCTGCTTCCTGTTGGTTTTGAGCTAGCAGATAGCAGGTTCTGTCTGATCTTACTCTTGTATTGGAAATCAGAGAACGGTGTTCCTTATTCACCATCTTCTCTGTGATTCACGTTTGTGTATCCCCCCAGCAGACCTGCACTGATTTACATCAGGTGGGAATCTGTCCCTGTGGTCTCTATCACAGTGAGTACAATCCAGGGCAGATAAGATACATTCAGGTAACAGACATCTTTCACCTTGGTGCAGGCAGAGGGGAGGAAGCTGTGACATAAAAAGGTTGAATGAAAGGACAAGGATATAAGAGGGGTCTAAAGCAAGAACAGAGAAGGGTTGGACCATGCCAGTGCAGCTGGGAAGATTGTTCCAGGCGTAAGGGAGAGCACACAAACTTACTTGGAGGAGATATGAGGAGCAGTGAAGGGCTCTCCTCCAGTGAAGGAGGAGAAGAAAATGGCGCTCAAAGCTGAGGCGCTTATAGGCTTTGTTCCTCTCTGGAAAATAGACTAACAGCAGCAGGTGAAGTATATGGTTTTGTTTCTTTTACAACGGTCACATCTCAATAGGTAATTATATATAATAGAAGCTCATGGCATCATGTCATCTGTTGTTTACAGATAGGTCAGTGACCAGACAGCAGGGTGCCTTTGATTACATTAATCCAATAAAAATGTGCTGTATTGCAGGGTACAACTTTTGTGAGACAAGCAGCAAAGCAAAGCACCTGGCTCTCCCTGGGGCAGAATTGCCTCGCTGTATCTCATTCCTTGGGTAGCAGTTAGAGCTTTCTAAAAAAAAAAAAAAAATCCTTCTGCCTGTTTTAGAGCAGCAAGGAGTACATCCTGGAGGGGACGGATGGGATTAAAATGGTTCCACCAGTTGTAATGAGCCTGTTCTGGTTGAATGTCTATTCAGTTTCTCTGAAAAGAATGGCGTGGCTATGGTCTCCTGCTGTTAGTAGAGCAGTACTTAGCCCTCCTTTTGTGGGCATAATTTTATGAAACTCGGCAAAATCTCCCTACCTTGCCCTTCTCTTGTACTGATCAGCAGAGAGAAACCAATTTAGTACTGTTCTCTACACAATCCTGATCCAGTGCTTTTAGGGAGTTTAGTGGCTTACAAAAGTGTGTACAGCCAGTGCATGTCCTAGGAAAGTATAACCAGCATGAAATGGAGGGGTAAATTTTCTAAGTGGTGCAGCTGTTCCATGCTGGTAAGTGTCCATGTTCCCTTAGAAATATGTTCCAAAAGAACTCTGGAAATCCATGGTGGCAGGAAGATTTGAGTCCACTGGAGCTCTCAGGGTTTTACATCTGGTGGCCAGCTGCCTCAGACCCAGAGAAGCTCGATTCAGTCTTACATTTTCTGACATTCCCCTCCCCGAGTCAGCCAGAGGGACCGATGGTTTGAGGGTCTTACAGTATTGGTTCACACAAGCATAGCTATGAAGGAGTACGTTGTTCTTCTCATTTAAGGGATGTAATGGAGCTTGTAGTGAAAATAACCAGGCTGTACTCAGTGGAGGGGGGCTGTGTACATGAGAAGAGGATGTTGAGAAAGGGGAAAGGACCCCATTTTCAGCATGGTTCTATTCTGACCCTTGTTTGCTGGTTCTAGGGTTCACAGCTCTGAGTAAGAGCCTTGAAGTAAGGGTGTTAGGAATAGGAGCTGTTGTTTAGTCTGCTGCTTTGAGTCGTCAACAGAGGGATATATATGTTCTGTTCATTGTTTGCTTCCCTTGACTTGCTCTTTTGTGGTGTCATGCAGACAGGGATCTTCTTCACATATTGCATTAGAAATAAATGCTTCCGGCTCACATTAAGTGTTATTC